TCAGCAGGGACAGGACCTCAGGGACATGGGCACAGGACCCTGGGGACAGCATGATCGCTCGGTGTTCATGCCAGAGGGAATCACAGGAACCAGGACACTCTCTCCTGCAGTGCCAGGCACCCACTGCCGTGCACACACAACTGCAGTGTGTGCTGTACCTGTGGCACCCACAATCACCCTCCACGTGGCACCGTCCCCAACACACCACACGAAACACACACATGGCACCATCCTCCACACACAGCACCCTGCACACACACATGGAGCACAGAACATCCCCCACAGACACCCAGTGACACTGTCTATACACAGGTAGTGCTCATGTTACCTTGCACACACACAGAGCCTGTAGCACCTCGCTCAGTGCACCTTACATATACACACACACATGCAGCATGTATGTAACTTCCCTGCACACACACACATACACACACACATGCACACTGCTGTACACAGGCTCTCACACACAGCTCACACTCTCGTGTACAGACACAGCCCTTGCACATGCAAAACCCCCTGTCCAACACCCCCTCGTGCTTCTGGGGATCTCCGGCTCTGCCCATCCTACCTGGAGGGAGCCGGCAAGGACAGGGGTGCCAGGGTAGAGAACAGAGGGGGAAAAGGACTTTCCAACCATATAACCCTGGTGCCACCAATGCAGAAGGACAGCACCCTCCCTGCCCATCCTCAGCCCCTGCCACCTCGGTGGCAGGTTCCCCTGCTCTTTGGCGACCAGGTGGTGTGCCAAGGGCTGGCCAAGCTTGCTGTCCCTCTGGTGGTCCCCATGCAGGGAGACCTGGAGCAGAATCCAGCCCCGCAGACCTTCGAGCCCAGGGATCCTCTGCGCCTGGAATAGTGCAAGTGCACAGGGCTGAGGGTTTTCCTTACCGTTGTTGCTGGTGCTGGGAATGCTGCGCCTCATCCACTCATATGGGGTGCGTCTCTGGGCATTAGGGGAGAGCTGGGGGACGGAGCTACTGATGGGTGGTGGCAAGAGTCCAGAGCCCGGGGGCTGGATGGGGTTAAAATCTGGGGGGCTGAATCCAAACTGCCCTGGGCTGGCAGTGGAAGGTGTCGCAGTGGTTCCATAGGAATGCCAGTCCTCCTTGGCAGGGGTGTAGGGAGAGCCCCAGGCGGCTGCCGGCTGCCCATGGTGCAAGTCGTTGTTAATCCCTGGCACATGGTGGTAGCTGGCGAAGTCCGAGTACTGGGGCGGCCCCGGCACGTAATTCTGGGGGTTGAGGTTGAGGCTGGGATGCCGGACAGGACTGGGATACATGTTGGTGTCCTTATCCACAAGATAACCCACATACATCTTCCCCAGCTGTCCCGGTGCACATGCTGCGCTGCCGAGCTGCCGACTGCGGCCGGTTGGGTTTGGCAGGGAGGCGACCGCCCCTCCTTCACCGCCACTCACCTGGGCGCCTTGGGGAGCCTGTCCTGGGGCCAGGCACCTCCCTGCCCACAGGCTTTTATTGGGCCCAACCTCTCACAGCATTTGCATTGAAAGGCAGGTTTGCATTTCAAAGTGCAGGAACCCCAGCGGGTGAGAGGGGGGTGTTCAAAGCTCCCACCCTGGCTGCAGGAGAGGCAAGGTGGTGGGTGACCCCAGGGAGCACCAAGGACCCCATGTCCATTCTGCTGTCACCACTCCACAGCTGTGCCCATGCCACCAGACACGGTCCCTTTGTAGTGGACGGCTTTGGGGTCATCGTGGCTGTCACCCATGAGAATGCTACAGGGGAGCCCATCACCATCCATACCCAGGAGCAGAGTGTCTAGGGCTGAGCCCCTGTATTAAAACCTGGATATGGGCAGGGGACCAACTGGGCTGTGCCTGCTACCTGCTCTGTCCTCACACTAGGGACACCAAACTGTTGCCCTGGATGGGGCTTTCCTGTGCCCATTGGCAGAATCTGCCTATTTGGAAAAGAGGGGGATGATGAGAAGGGATTTTCCTCCATCCAATGACAAACCCACCCCTCCTACACTGACAGCAAAGCTCAGCCCAGACTCAGAGAGCAGGACAGATGAACAGACAGAACCTGTGTGTGTGGGAAATGCCCTCATCATGGACATAATGGGGAGTCCTTGGGCTCTGACACATCTCCAAGCTCTGACGCTGTAACTAGAGAAGTTTATCACCTGATTTGTCTCCTAAGGAAGCAAAACCATCCCTATGTGTTTGGTAATAGGGAAAACCAAGCAGAAAAGGGACGCTCATGAAGCCGTGTCTGCCTGCAAGGTGGGAGGTGGCTCTTCCATAAACACCCACAGCAGAGATTGCCCACTCATCACCCATCAAGCCAGACACATCTCTGCTCCTCAGGGGACAAGCATTGTGCCATGCTGCCCAGAAACCCCCATCACTGACAGCCAGGAGCCTCTTCCCCATGGATACCTCCTCCCTGCCAGCGTCACACTCCAGCTGTGCTGGACACCACTGCAGCCACAGTCATAATCTGCAGGGTAGCTCTTTCTCCTCAATTGGAAACATAGCCAGCAGAGGCTCCAGAGGGTGTTTCATCACCTCCCCAAGGCAACCTCTGTCCTTTTCTCTGCACCAGCCCCTTCCTCTGCTAGAAACATTATTGGAGCAAGGACTGATCTGTCCTCACTCTCCTGGAACAGAAACGGCCTAGAGTTTGACAATAGGAAAGAGATGAGAAGAAAAAAACAAAAAGGGGAAAAGAAGAGATTAAGAATGAAACTGAGAGGGAATAAAACTTCCAGCAAGGAGCTGTGAACCCTCATTGTCTCTGTGTCAGTCCAGGTCACCTCATCCCATTGCTCCAGCCCTGATTCCAGCTGAAACTTGGTGAAAATACACAGATGCCACATCCACTTCCTGCAAGAAGGTAGGAGCCAGGATGAGATGGAAGGGAGTTGGGTAAGAGATAAAGGATCTAGTTTGCAAGAAAGGAGAAGAGTAAAGCCCCAGTAACGGGAAATCACTCCCAGAGTGGGTATCGCTCGGGCTCTGCCTCATGAGACCTGGCATGGCCAGAGGCACCACAAGAGATGAGAACTTTGCACCATCCTCTCTGTGCCCCCAGCCCCTTGCCCAGCCTTGTCCCAGCTCCCTCCCTCGTGACAAAGGTGACTGTCACAACCCTCCCACCCGGTGATGATCTCAGCTCATGATGCAGCTCAGATAGCTTGATGTACCATATAACCCCATCTATTCTGGATTTTTCCCAAGGTCTCAGCACAGCCATGACTTTGTTTAAACAAGAGAGTCAAGGCCACTTTCCTCCTCCTCTTCCTCCCACCAGCAAACAGATGCTGGTTCAGGAAGTAGGGGAAAAAAAAGAAGAAAAGAAGAAAATCCCCCCTGAGCAGATGGTGGGAGTAGGTATGGAGGAACACAGGTGGCTGCTAGATCCCACCCCATGAG